TCCACATTCGGAGATAAGTCGCATTCGGTGATGTAATAGTCAAGGAAAAGGTGGTATTGTTGCTACAATTGGAACATATCCATGGTCATCTGTGAAACTGATATTCCAAAATGATCAACCAAATCATGATGGTGTCCGTAAAAATTTAGAAGAAATGACTTCAATATATCTAATAGGAACCCTTGGCTCAATAGCTTCATTGTATTCCGAAGTCCTTTTTCAAGGAAATTATAACAGGGAACGCAAGCTCCCAAATATCGTTTTAACTTGGATGTATATACTCACCGTCCTTTGGTCTCTGATAAAAAACTTGTTTCATTGGCAATTATACCGCATCTCCCCGTGTATATCCATGTGATGGCTCTGTGAGAATGTAACATACATTATCCGTGCCCTCAGAACAGCTTATTCAATGAATGTAAAAATAATATGATGCCGAATGAGTATAGGAACATTTTCTCCTATAATCAAAAGAATATACATAACGATGATGCAAATTGGTATAAGATATATGTAGTGGTCATTGTTTACATGATCTGATGAAGCTAGAGAAATATTGATGCCTACATCAATGGATATTTATTTGTCTTACCAAGCCACATATGTTCCAGACAAAGGAATTATTTAGTATCCTTTAGAGGATTTCGTTTTCTTTTGCTAAAAAGAGGTCTACAAAGTGTTTCAAGACAGGTTTGAATATTTAGGCTCATGGCTAGTTGTAGTCAATCGAACAGCGAAAGTCTCTTACTTTGATACTGTAGCATTTGTTGAAAAACCTGGTAATGTTTTGTGGGTATTAAAATCTGCCTCTAAATCAAACATTTTTTCTTCCGTGATTAAGTTCCTTTATTAAGTTACCACAACGAATGGAAATAGGCGCTGGTTGATTGTTGGGTCACTAGCAATCATACCACATCTACATATTGTTTATATTGTAATGGTACTGATACACTATAACTACTGTTGCTCTTTGGCAACATTAAGTTTAACTACAACGAAGATAACATTTAAGTTAATGCATTAACATAAAAAGTAGATATATTTTTCGAAGGTCAATTGACTTACATTTCTGATTCCACCGCAGATAAGATTTTCAAGGTCATTGTTAGTAAAGTACTTTGTGCATCTCTGTAATCTGAAGCTAATTAGATCGAAAGTTCTTTCCTCTCATTGTTCGTGAAGAGGTAATTGTCAAGTTTTTGATACATCAGGATGATTGAAAATGTTTTCTAATTCGTTTATTTTTTCACGATGATAGCATCTGAATTAATGGGTTTTGAATTAGTTATTTCCAATTGTCTGTGAGTTAATAATACAGTGCACTAGAATTTACGATTTGCTCTCAAGAATTCTTCATTGCTGTTGATTTCTAGCTCTTGGTACCATCTGCCAATTTACATTTCGAGGAAATAAACAGTTCTTATGAATTATCTTCTCATCTTGTCTTTACTGTTATCAAAATTATACTTGTGATGTTTATAAGTTGATATTAGCAAGTTCTGATGCTATTTAGTTACTATTGATAGTTACGCAATATAAACCGTCTCTTACGTCCAATGACTTCAGTTGCTAATAATTAAATGATTGATATGGCATGTTTATTAGTATTAATTTTGTCAATGAATTAAAACATCGATTTTATTATCGTCGTATTTTTATAAAAAGGAAAATGTAGAATATGCAATGCTTTGTTATTTTAAGATGTGAGCATGTAGACTGTAAAATTTGTCTGCATATTTTGGAAAATATAAACAAACATTGCGTTCTCTGTTTATGATCTCTCTCTCGTCCGTCTGTGATATCTGCACCTCCGGTTATAAAAATACGAAATTTTGAATTCACAGTAGCTTCAACAAATGTTTCGATATATTTACATTATTCATGATTCGTATTGATTGTCCAGAGACGTATTTCATGCATAATCCGGACAAGAACAGTACGATAACTATTGTCAATTAATGCGTTGCTCCCAATATGTTAACTTTTACAATTTTGAATCTGATAGTTCCTGGCGACCTTGAATCTGGATAAGCCAACGGACCTAATCAAAGCTAAGTGTGAAATGTCTCATCGACCTATACACTGTTGATGCTGATCGTATTTTATTTCTTGGTTGTATCATCAAAACAGTTGACAGTGTTTTGTATACATGTACTTATTTTGATAACAGATTTTGGTATATATTTCATTTATTCACGATTTTGGTATATATTTCATTTATTCACGATTTTGTATATATTTCATTTATTCACTTCAAAAAGAAGTAATTCTTTTTTTTTTTCTTGCCATGGCGTTGTCAGGTTCACTTCAAATTGCGAGTTTTAAATGTCCCCTTGGTATCTCCCACCTCATTTTGGACCTATGTCGAAAGCGCTGTCTTTGATTTTATGTTGATCGTTTAAAAACTATGGAATGTGTAGACAGTAACAAGCTGATCCACTTATTATAATAGTTTGTCAGAAAAATACCTTTTGTTCGAAGTTGACGATTTTTCAAGAAAGCATTGTTTTATACGAAACGTCATACTGACTTCATTTTGGATAACTTAATGTCTGTCATAATCTTCATATGGAAAATAAATCAATTAATTTTCCTTTTCGTTTTTCTGTGGCAGAAAAACATAACCCCCTCCCCCATGATTAGCAGCAATTCATGGTAATGTAATTTATTTTTGTATCACATTAAGTTATTGCAAGTTAACTTTAAAAAAGTTGACGTATTCAATACAAGTGGTATTTTTTAAAACAATTTTCAGATAAGATTTACCTTGACTTAGTATCACTCATCATAGTGATGAAACTTAAATTGTTGCCCAGTTTCTAACATTTTCAACCAAAAAAGAAATATCGGTAAATTCCTATCACTGGTATGTACATTAAGAATTTCTACTTAAAATATCTAAAATAATATGATGGTTTGAATGAAATGAAATCCGTGTCATTATTTAAGTATTGAAAACAAAAGAAAATTTTCCAGTTTACAACAGTTTTTTCCTTGAACACGATATTTTTACCAAAACTTATATCTCTCAACAACACCATCGTGAAAGAGTTGAATTAGAACGCTGTACAGGTGTTTTTTTAATTATAATACCTTCTGTTATGATGTTATTTTTCATAGTTTTGATACATCGTGTGCCTGAAATTTAACGCCACATTCAGACTCCGGGATGACTTTTGTATTTCTACATCCCAGACAGTCGAACAGACATCTTCTCAGGACAGAATTTACTTCAGAGTTAGTTAAGGTTGTCATAATTTTATATACAAGAAACCCAGGAGGTTTTAGTCTTTCGTACCGGGATATTTTAGGAGGAACTTTCTTATTACGGATGATGTTAATATGAACTCACTCACTCAATGGACACTTTTGTTCCTTTCTCTATGCATATCAAATTAAACTAAGATAATGTCAAATGATATTGCACGTTTAGTATTGCTTTTTATGATGGTAAATTGTTGTCAATGAGCTGAATGGCATTTGTTGCAATCGTTTATAAGACTGAATTGAGATTGTTTTGATAAACAGATCTTTTTCTCAGTGATTCTTAATATGAAATGTATTTAATATTCATTGAAATGGGTATATCAGGTTAAATATTCTCCGAGTAAAACTATAAGGTTGTTCTAGTCTACGTTATTGTAAATTCTGAGGAATGGCGCCATAGACAAAGCTGGCATTGCCGACGGCTAAATAAAAATATTTTTATATGTATATATGAATTATAGCCATTCTAAAAGTTAAGATTTTGATATGTCCATAAGATACGATCAATCGTTTTGCCAAATATTTGTAGAAATGATTTTATCTGAATATTGTTTTTGGTCCTATATATAAAAAAAGCCTTTGGGAATATATTATTGGTCAAATCCATTAGATCTTTCAGTAAATGTTTTTAATGCTTTATTTGGGACAAATTGCTATACAAAGCAGTTATACTAAAACTGTTACCATTTAAAACGTCAGATCAATGTCAGTTTGGCAGTATAGTTTTCAATTTGATAGACCATAATTAGAAATAAAAGACAATTTACCAAGCTTTAATTACCCTGCAGGAAATGTCAGTTTATTTTTAGTTAACAACATGTTTTTATTCATCTGACAGAGGTGACTTTCTTTTCTTTTACAATTTTTTGTTCTGTTTTCATCCGAGATTTAATCGTTCTATTAATCATATAACTTGATGCTCTTAGTATTTGAACGGTCAGCTAAAATCTGTTTTTTTCTTACTTTGGTCATGTGCTTATTGTTGCACTTACAAGTAAAATAATCTGCGAAATTAAACTTTTGTAATATACATTGAACTTCTTATACCATTGTATTGTATCAAGTGTTTAGTAGACGTCAACAAAACAACAACCCAGCAACATGAGTTAACCAAAATAGACATATATAGGTCGTTAAAATATATAAAATGTTAAGCCTTTATTTTCTTAAAAAGAAATTGTACTACCTCTCTATTATGTCAGATGTAAGCAAATCCCTGAAATATTTTAGAAGGTTTTGTACCATAAAATATAAGTAAAAGTTTTGATTATCCAATATTTTGAAACTGAAATATATTAGCATGGATAATTTAATACTGGTAAAATTTGATTTTTTGCGGATTTCAATTGTTACGTCTTTTATCATAGGAAATTTTACCTTTTAAGTAATAGTTCATACCAATACTATCTATGCTGGGAACAAAGGTATAAACAAACCCACTAGATGACCTAATTCTATTGGACTAGCAAAAAACATAATGAGAGCATTTAGTATAGAATATGCAGTATTGCATCAACGATCGCAGAATGCAATTGAGACATTAAAATAACGTGCAGTGGTTGTTATGATTTCAATTAATTTCTAAGAAAAACTGCTGCCAAACCAATCATAAAATTTGTATTTGTTGAGTTTGTTATCTTGGCTTGAAGTTATTCCTTACGTCAAATCTTGGAACGTTATTACCTGATATTGCAGTCATTATTGATCACTAATCATTTGATTTTTACTTCTAGGTTTGATGTCCACAACTTGAATCTATTTTACAAACTTTAATTAGAAGGATGAAAATAAGCCCTGGAGAATTACACTTTATGATGCATGGATTCAATTATGACAAAAAATCTTTTGATTTTTATATGGATTTATAGGAAACAAACTATTTTTGATGTGACGTTTTCATTCACTACATCCAAAGTCACTTGTGGATCAGTTGATAATCGCCGTTAAAATAAAGGTCAAGTCGACAATGCCTGTTAAATAGTAAAAAGTTTAGCAAAGTCATGGGACGTTGTGTATCATGGGTGTAGATAATGTTACCACGGAGAAATGGAACACAAGTAAAACCTTTGCATCTGTAATTCCAACTTTAACTGATTCAAACATCGATAATTTTTCTCAGTTTTCTAGCAATTCGTTCATAGCATTCACAGAATTTTCGACAGCCAACATTTTAAATGTTACAAGCAATTTTTCAGATGGATTAAATAGCAGACATGTTGAAAAGTCATTACTAGAAATTATTTCTGTGTCGATTGTTGTTGCTATTTTGGCTGCGTTGACTATTGGTGGCAATTTGTTAGTTATTATTGCATTCAGGATTGACAAACAACTTCAAACAATCACAAATTATTTCTTATTGAGTTTGGCTGTTGCTGATATGGCTATTGGCGTCATCTCAATGCCACTGTATACTGTTTACCTGTTAATGGGACATTGGCCCCTGGGTCCTTTGCTATGTGATATGTGGCTATCAATGGATTACGTCATGAGCAATGCTTCCGCTGCTAATCTCTTGGTTATAAGTTTTGACCGATACTTATCTGTTACACGTCCATTAACTTACAGAGCAAACCGAACTGGAAGAAAAGCCGTTCTAATGATTGTGCTTGTGTGGGTTATTTCTACTCTCCTTTGGACACCATGGATTTTTGCTTGGCCACATATCGAGGGAGAACGGACAGTACCAAAGGATGACTGTTACATACAATTTTTATACACAAATGCTTTTGTAACTATAGGAACACATATTATTGCTTTTTGGTTGCCCGTCATCATAATGACAACTTTATATTTAAAAATATACAGGGAAACAAAAAAGAGACAAAAACGCATGCCAATGCTTCAAGCTTATAAAAGTTTCAAAGAGAAGAAACTTGCATGTTCTATTGAAGAGGATATAGCCTATCACCCGAAATATCGTGAATCTGATGGAGATATAGAAGGACTGTATATTCCTGAAATGGAATTTCCCCCGGAGGATAAATCATGCTGGCAAAGATTGAATTGTTGCAAAATAGATAGGGATTACGAGATTGAAGAATCAAGTTCAAGTGAACCACTTTCTCCGGTAGCTAATTCTTTTCCAGATTCCAGTCAACAATCATTCAGAAGCTATCGTTCCGGGTCTTATAAATTTAGACACATATCTCGATATAGTTTTGGACGATATTCTAAGCGTAGCGATTCTTCCAATCTAGTAATTCCTTTAATGGCAGCCGATTCGGCAAAAACACTAACGTCGCCAGATTCAACTTGTGCAATTCAAGAGGAAAATTCTTCACCGAGTATAGAAAAGGCTTTGAAAAAAGCTGCTACTGATGAGTCTAATAATTTATATACAATTGTGATTGACATTCCAAAAAGTAAAAATGGAAATTCCGAAGTTCATCCGACAATACGGATGATCGATGACAACGAAGAGGCTAGCGATGATAAAATAGTTCCAGCAAGCCCTGTTATAAGTAAAGCCAATGGAACACATAATGGAATTAATTTCGAAGAATCTTCATTTAGTGAAAACAGTGACCGGAAATTTAAGAGAACAGCTTTAACACAAATTGTTGGTACTCCCGCCCTTGGGCGGCGCATACGTTCCAATGACGCAAACAAAAATGCACAAAATGTTAAAATAGCTACACATGCAGCATATAAACTAGAAAAGTCAAAACGGAAACGTTCAGAGAAAAAGCAAGACCAAAAAGCAGCCAAGACTCTTAGTGCAATTTTGCTGGCGTTCATAGTAACTTGGCTTCCTTATCAAATTACCACAATCATTGAAAGTTTTTGCAGTGGATGTGTTCCGGGACTATTTTACCAATTTTGTAAGTAAAAAAAGTAGGAAATTATTTACAAATATCAAGCAGAAATGAAAAAAAAACATAATAATATTAATATTAGATAAACCTGCATTATATATTCTTTCGTCCTTTAAGCGTGTATGACTGTTTTATTGGTGAGCGTGAACTGGTGGTAGTTTTTACGCTGCACCTCTGTGGGTGAAAGTCCATGCCCCAAGTTATCTCCCATTTTGCAAGTTTGATAATGATGATAAACTACTAAATAAGATCATTCATATGTTTACAACATGTTAGTCTCATAGAATCAACTTATGTCATTTTATACCATATTTGGTTCGGACTTTCATGCTTGGAACTCAAGAATAACTACTAAAACAGTTTATTTGAATATTGTGTCTATTGCAGTCACCGTTGAGGTACAGCCTTGCCGAAAAAAACATATCTTGCTTAAGATTTCGTACATAAATAAGTTGAATTGAGAATGGTATCTTTTTTTTTCTTTAAGGCTGCTGTTCATACACTATCAAAAACTATCACGTTAAAAAAATGCGTGAAATATCCAATTTGGACAGGAGACGTTAACCCTGTCGAAGCCCGGTATCTCTCCTTTTGGATTTCATACGATTCCCTCAGTTTATGTTTGTTACCTTGAAAGTTTATCTTCTTTAATCGATTTACTAGATTTGACCATCGATTAACTACTGTCGCCTTAATGTATGAGGCAACAATGATATCACATATTTATCAATTATGAACTTTTGACGAGGTCAGTACGTTATATATGGACCTGTTCGGACTATATTGACCGAAGACGAAATTTTTAGTAACATAGAGTCAATATGTCAAAAAAGTGAAAAAATACAAAATATATATTGGAAAACACGTGACCAAATAAACCAATGAGAAACAAGAAAAATCAATCCATATGTAACATAACGTTGTATGGACTATTTCATCTTTTTATTCATTAATAGAAGAACATAGTTGTGAAAGAAATGAAGATTTTTTTTTTGCAATTTCAGGGCCAAATAATAGTCCTTACAATACCCTTCCTTTAAGTAGTACATGAATGACAAAAAAGAATCAATTTCAAACTCTTGTTTTATGATAGTGGAAATTCATTTTCTTGTAGTCTTCTTAATTAACAAACCATGTCTCTTGCATGTAGCGAGATTGATACTATATCTATCATTCGCATGCATATTATATTTGCAGGTAAATGACCAAGCATTTGAGGATTTATAAGTACTTCTTCTATCAATTGTCATAGAAATTAATTGAATGGCAAGCCGTGGTAACAAAAAAATAATCTTTGTAGAGTACCTTGAAAGAAACCCACATATCTAATCGCCCATACTTTTACAGAGGCGAAATATATTGTCTAAATAGGCCATGGAATCGACAACCTGTATCTTTTTCGACTTATACTAGTTCATATTAACTTGTTTATAAAAAGTCTTATATGTTGCTTAAAATTTTCCAAACGTAAAATTCCTTAATTCTTTTATTAAATCTACAACGAAAGGTGTTTATACAGAACAATTATCTCACAATGCAAATTGCATTGAAAAGTAAAGTGTTGAATATCAAATCAGTCAGGACTCTAGTTCGTCAAAATTATCTCCCCATTATGCCACCTAAGTTTTTCAATCGTGAAAATGGACGCCATTTCAGGGATGATGCGCTGTTCATTTAATTCTTGAAAACCGATAAAGTTATCCACATAGCATCATTTCGATCCTTGTATAACAGTTTAATTTTGAAAGACAATTGTATCTACTAGCTATTAAGCATCATTTTTAGGCCTTTTGTCAACTTTAAACTATTATATGGTCGGTTTTCTAGAGATATTTTCGAAAGTTTAAAAAAAAAGACACAAACAAAAAGTTTGAAGACTAACTACCCTAGATCATACATACAAAAAATGCAATGTTTTTGAAATTATGCATAAAAAAATTCCACAAGTAAAGTCGTCAAGGACTTTCAGTTTCAGTAAAAATTTAAGGAAGTGTTAGTGAAAGGTGTCCAACTTTTCTTTTTTTAGTACATTTCATGAATAAAAAAATTAATATGCCTAAATTTTGATTGAAAAATGAGTAAACGAAAATAAAAAAAGAATACAAGAAAAAAAAACACCTCAACTTTTAATATTTGTAGTGGCACCAGTTTTTTTTTTTTGTGTGACTGAAAACCCTACTGTTATGCCTCATGATAAAGGTATTTCACTTGACTACCATAATAGACTGTTTTGTGAAAATTTGTCATTGATTTAAAAGTTTACAAATATCTCGGAGCTCCATACTATAATTTAAGTATAAACACATTTATAAAATGCAAAACATCGTAAATTATGCACCTACATTAAACTTTTAATGCCCACAGAAACATATGTTAACAATTCAAATATACCAACTTGGCCATTTTTACCTTCTGTAATAAAGAGTTCTATTTCTTTTGTTTAATTTCTACTGGATATCAGCCTGAAATGTTTTTTTATGGACTTGAGAGTTTGGGCTGATAATTATAGAAGAGTAGTCGACCAAAGGCATTCGTTTTGTGAGCATTGAAAGCAGCTCCTTTCATGATTATTTGAAATAGAGTTCGCATATAAGTATGGAAGGCAGTTTCTTTCAGGGTGATTATAAATGACTGAATAACAACGAAAATGGCAACACTGATTTTTTTTCTTTCATTTTGATATGAATGAAGGTAAGGCTCTGAATTAAGAATTGTAGAGATGGATTTGATTATAAACATTAGACTGAAATTGTTTCTTCCTTTTATACTAAAAACTGTTGCTATTTTTTAATAGTTGGGGATTTCATTACCACAAGTTTCTTACAACCTTTACTAAATTCTTCATAGACACAAATATTTAGTTTAGACATTCGTTACCACAAGTTACTAACAGCCTTTAATAAATTCTTTTATATGTACAAATATTTGGTTTGGGCGTTTTCCTGTACTTATAGAAATCGTCATACAAATTGGATAGCACATCCTGTTTCTTACGTCGATGTTGTTTATAGAGCCCGTTAATTAAGATACGATCTATGGTAACTTATTGGTCTTTTGAATAAACTTATTCTTTATGGTTAACAATTTAATATTATAGTAGTTTTTTTAGATATTCTCTTTATCTGTACCAACACGATTTTATTTGCAAAACGTTTAATACATATATAAACACATATTGTCATTTTCTCAAACTGCTTATGACGCCTTTGCGCCAAATCCGCTGGTTTTACTTATTATCATTGAGGACCGTTGGGTTACCTGTAGTTGTCTCATTGATACCACGTATCCTTATTTTCATATTTAAAAAAGTCACAAGAATAAGAAGAGAATTTTTGCTTCGCATCACGGTGCGAAAGCGTTAGTTTGTGTCAATTAACACGCCATATTAAAACTATTGCTAAACAACAGTTAATTATACTATTTGCTGATTGGTGTGACGGCCAAGATTCTTTTGGCCTGAATGAGTTATCCGATTTGTCACACGCCAGAAAGGGGAAAATAAAATATATACGGATGGTCTTAGAGTATAGGTATTCGAGACCCTATCGATGAATATGTTGCTAAGGGATCACACATTGTTGCTTAAGCGCTGATTGTCAAAATTGATACATTTATAATTACGCATTTCCTTTGCTTTTATCTGCATAACATGTATTTAACATTATTTCATATTTAAGATGTGTATTGCGTTAGTATTATATCATAAAACATTACATATAGTATACGAGAACGATAGCTCTGTCCACTGATTGGTTTACTCGATCTTGACAGTAATTATTTACTATTTATTTGTTAAAAAGTAATTTTTTAAACATACACATTATACAATTTAGAAAGTATTGGTCTAAAACGGCACTTTAAAAACAGTACAACAAAACAACAAACACACAAGTATATGATGTAAACATTATAGGTGTAACCCTTTTAAAGCATCAATTTATGGGTAACTTTCGCTGTTTACTTCCGATGATGATGAAATCACGAGTATCAATAAAAATACTTTTTGACAAAAAAACATAAAAGTCGTTTTCTCTAAAAGTCACACAAGCTGGCGATACTGTGAATTAAACACTCCAGACCTTTTTGGAAAGGTCTAACTTGTTATTATTTTTTTTTTTATTAAAAACTCGCATATGATTCTTTGAACAGGCTTATTTGAAACAAGGTAACTTAGTAAAAGTGTTGTTCCTCTCAAACTACTCACTCTGTATCTAAAATCTTTAAAGTAAAACTAGTACACGTTATAACAAAATTAGTGAGTAAGTTAGCGTAGTGTTTTGTGGAATGTTGTTTGTGTGTTCGTTTTCTTATTGTCATGATGATGACTGTTTTTCTTCGACCTATGTTTTTATTGCCATGTTCGCATCTTCATCCCCTTTTTAATCTTATAAAGGTTTGTGGATTTTTCTTTTGTTTTTGAATAATCCACAATGTTCTCCAACATTTATTTTTGCAACCATTAGTTTAAGAAATAATACAAATAAATTTTCGTTGGAAAAATTAATAAAGGATATTGAGGGAAATTGGTTGCTATCAAATAGAATCAGTTCATTTATTCAGCGCGTTGGTTTTAATTGCAATATTTTTTCATTAGTATCAGTAAAAAGTGATGAAAACGTCGTTTATTACGTCAATGACGTGCACCAAGGTCCAGTTAATCATTTTATCCAATTGACTATGTCCTACCATATCAATAGGATTGTTAAGCGAATAATTACATGATGGGAAATGACAAATTCATTCATCATCTAAGAGACTATGAAGTGCAGCGGAAAATTAAACTGAAACAATGATTGATACAAAATTCTATATTCACATAATTATTATCACTTTTGTATATTTGTCTAATATTAGAAATAACAGAGTTTTGTGCTATCCGATATCTATTTATGCTGTCCCCGCTGTACGTCTAGTATACCATTTATATTTTACCTCTTTCTTAGAGACCATTAACCATAAATTTATATATAGCAACATTTATTGGTAAAAAGTAAGTGCTTACGTCT